AAGGTTAATGTGCACGAGTAAGCAAATTTACAAAATGATAAGACCTGGCCTTGGAATGTATTTCCCCATTTGTTGCTAGAGCAGAAACGTGTATGCTACATGTAGAGACAGCAGGGTATGAAGAATGTCATGATAATTCAATGTAAGAAGCGTTCTACTGCTCTGCCAACTGGTAGTAATAATATTACTTATGTGAGAAAAGTTGAAATACATTGTTGCAAATCCAAGTTCCTGGGTTTGGTTACAGATTTTAAACTCGTGTAGTAATCGGTAATCGGTGCTCAGTTGTAGTTTGATCTTCTTGGTACCAATCATACTCATAGTGATATCCTTGCTACATTGTATATTCTAAGTGAGTCTCTTGGTATGCAATTTATGGTGTCTACTCTAGTACTGTATTGATAATCAGTTATAAGCGTGATAACCAAAGATATTTCAGACAGCACTTCTGGTTTGGTTTTAAATAATGTCCAACTTGAACAGACCAGGGAGTGTCCAGCCTGACCAGACCAATTTATCTAACAGAGTTGTAGGTGATATCTTGCATGAATATTCATGTTATTTGTTATTCTTTGTACAAAAGGGTTGGAGCAGGTTTGATTTCAGCACTTAGTAGTCCACTTTTAGTTGGGGCCATTCCTTTAGAAGTGTGTTATTGTGCTGAAAACCAGGCAAGCTGAAACCTGAGGTACCGAAGAAAGCTGCCCTGTAGGGGTCAGTGATAGCTATTTTGGAAGCTTGACCCTTGTGAAGGCTGGAGTCTGTGTAGTTATAGAGGGTCAGCCTTCCAATGGACATAACTGTGTTACACTCCTAATTCACAAGGAAGTGGCTGTCCCTAAGCTAGCTATCTGCAAGTACCAGAGATGAAGTGTCATGCTCAAGTGCTTTAATTTTAGTCATTCCATGCTGGGAAGCAGCATAAATTTTACATGTTGGTTATTTGAGGAGAATGGCTCAAAATATTGGGTTGCAGCAGTATAGTGCTGATTGATGGGAAAGAAGAGAGCCTTTTTGGCAAAAGAATAGGTCCATGCAACTGTAATTTGTTAGGGACAGACAGACCCTACATCAGATTCAGTATGTTTGCTTATCTCCTATTCACAAATGACAGCTACTTCTTTTGCCAGAATTTTATATCAATCATCTTCATGATGCCAGAAATGAAATGTGCCAGCAAGAAAAATTTGTTATGATCGACACAACTGGTCGAGAGCAATGTGTTTCTTCCCTTGGTTTTGGAAACTTTGTCTGGAATGCTATTGTGGGAAGAAAATATGTGATGATGAATTATTGATGCAATACCTGTGGACAGCACACACCTGCTCCTTGTAAAGCTTATGATGTTTAGGATTCAAATTTGGTCCCCAGCTTTACTTGTTGGATCTTGTATGACCATCTGAAAAATCCATTGTGCAGGCAAATGCTTGGTTTAATCTAACATGTTGTGCTTTTGAGACATAGAGTAGGACAAAGCAGGAAGGAAGCTTACGAATGGAAACAACATACAGTCTTTTTATCTTTCCAAAGTAGTTTTATACAAATCAGTTTTTACTGTCTAATTATTCTTGACAGGGTCTCATTGAATACACAGTATTTTCCCTGTTCCAGTCCAGTTACGTGACAGTGCTCCCATGTAGACAGGAGAAAATTGATGATTATGTATAGTGAGCCTAGTCAATCCTGTTGTACTGGTATGGGTTGTTTTCTACATGTATTTATTGAAACTGTTTACAATTTATAACTGCAAAAATATCATTCAGTTGTCAATCACCTTTATATGCAGTTGCCAGTGGGATATGTGCCCATAATCGACCATGACCGTTGTCTTCCCAAGACTTACCCAAATACCAAATACTAGTATCATAATCATAACAATCCACATTCCTTTTTTCACAATGGTTGAACCACATGTTTCACTAGACGCGATATTTCGATGAGTCTGCCATCTTCATCAAGGCCATAATGACTGGTTCACTATGCACTGAAGCCAGGTGTTACTGGTTCACAGTGCACTGAAGTTACGGTGATAAGTGGCCTGTGGACTAAGTGGGTGTATGATATTTGGAAAGCTGGGTGTGGTACTGTGACCATTGGTCTGACAAGTAACTAAACATTCCCTACTAGTTGAAGTGTAGAAGCCATTCTTGGCAGGGGGAAAATCATTTGGCTCAGCAACTATGTTGTCAGGACTTCATGCCTTCACTTTCCATCCATTGCATGTGCATGCAACCTTGTCTGGTATATTGTCTTTTGAAGAACACTCATTAATTAGATCCATGGTAAGCCACTGGGACTGACTTTAGGTGAGAGCAGAGGCTTTCCATATAATAGAAGGAACAGGAACCATGTAACATTTGCTCGATATGCATGTACACCTTTTGTGTCTGTTTTAAAAAAAAGGTCAAGTACATTTGTCAACATAGGTTTTCCCCATCATATCCTTTTCTTGCTGCTACAGTTCAGTTGCTTCTGCTTTGGAGGGATATAAGCCAAGACAGGTTGTTACAAGAATAGTCAAGGGAGTCTCATCCCAGTGATTTTCAAAAAGGAAAATATGCAAGGTGTTCAAACAATGTTATTGACCCATTATATACACATTCTCTGTTGTCTTCATACCAGAGGGACTACAGCATGTCTTCATGCCTTTCATGTCTTACCTTAGTCACGGTAAAACATCACACCTGGACAGTTTGCTGTCAGGCCACATTGTTTGTCTCCATTTAGAATGCTGACACACCAGGCTTTTAAATACCTCTCATTTTTTATTCTTCAATATGTCATTTGTAGTACACAAGTATTATTTTCTTAGCATCACTCAACAATAATATACGATATCAATCAATCAATCTATCGAATATCGTTAAGTGCTAAAATCACGAACATTGCAGCAGAAAGCTGAATTGCAAACTGCTCGAAAATGAATTCATATTTGTCCACATGTATATCCATAAGGCTTTGGTAGATACATTTTTGTATCATGTCATGTATCATTTTGCTTATCAGTGATTGATCATGACCTCAATAACATCTATTTGTGTAGGTCAAAGGGCATGTCAAGTATTTTCTGCCCCCATCCCTGTCTAATGAGGATGCATACTAAGTACTAAAGTAGTAGCAAACCAGGAGTCCTTCTGCACATGCCCTGTGCACATGGTACATTCTATGATGTAGCCTGGTAGCCACCTGTACATGCCTGTCCTCTGGAGAGATTTCACCTGTTTACTCATCATGGTCAATTAGACTTCAGATGATTACTAGACTAATGTCACTAAGTGATTCTCAGATCCTTGGATAATAAATGAGAGTTCATTTTTCATAAAAGAACCCCCATTAATGAATACTGCCTACATGTAGATTATACTATTGGTGAAGATAAATATATGTGCATTTGAAACACACTTGTGTAATGTCAGTAAGTAACTTCATTTATTTTGTTGCAGCAGTTGCTGCATGATTAGCTTTGGCTGTCCTGATATGTAAAAAGCTTATCCTTGCTAAGGTTGGACACCAATTTTAGGACTCATTTCATGCTTGTGTGGAGTGGAAGGTCCACTTATTTCCATGGTGCATTATGTGCTCTTTAGGTTGCTTATGTGTGTGTGTTAGCTTTCTGAACAGATGGAGAATCAATCAGTCCTGGTGCCAGGCTGGCTGTGGTGCTTTGTGCCTCATGGACTCACCAAGTGGTGGTAAAACTGAAATAGTAAGAAGAAAGTCAATATCCCTGTTGTTATCATTCATCTCAGGGTATAGCCCAACAGGTCACCACCTGCTATGGACAGGGGGAAAATCGGGTGTCACAAAAATCTTTCAACCTAATTTAACTTTTCAGTTTGCCTCTGTATTTTGCAAATTACGTTCTGGACTAGCTACTTTTACTCTAGAAATGGTTTGATTAACACACTTAGTACTTGAGTCGACCACAAATCCAGTGTGTAGATCTCTCTGGGTGTCATAGTATTATGATTCTGATACCTCTTCAGTCACAAAAGTGAAGGAGAATGTTATCAATTCCAACCCATTATTGGGCAGAGAGGAGTTACAAAATGCTTTCTTCATCCAGTTTCTAGTAGACGGAACTACAGTTGAAATTGTGACCACACAAATCTGATAACATGATAGATTTTATGACATACATAATCATGGACTTTGTGCATTCAAACAAACTGGAACAGTTGTGGTCATGCTTCTCATGTTTGGTCTTACCTTCATGGTATTTGGGGTTTCTCTCAGGGCTTTGTGAGAAGAGGTATGCAGTACTAATAGTGTTAGCATTTCCCACTTGATATGTATTACCCAGTGCACAGCACACCCTGCCATATGCCACCTACAGACTTCTTCATAGCCCTCAGGTATCTCCACTGTCGCCTCTATAATTACACAGTCCTCTGCTATAGGGGTCATTTGTGTCATGTTTGAATTACTTGAAGACAAACTATGTTTTAGGCATTAGTGGTCTTTCATCTTTTTAAAGCAGAAACATGAAAACATGTAACGAACCTATGTCTGCTGATATTCACAATGAATGCAGGATAATATCAGCTCTACATTCTCCTTATATCCTGCAATATATTTTGCCAAAGAAAGTGTACATAAACAATGTAGTAATACAAAACAAAACTTACAACATGCAAAACAAGAGACAGACCTTGTTTTGTGTACTGTTGATGGACAACTGTTATGGTCAGGCTGTATTGTGCAAATTGTTAAGGGTCTCCTCATGGACCTTCACCTTGTGAAGTATGATTGACACCTAAACCTAGAACTGTAAACAAGTGAAGAAACAAACAATCGAATAACCTGAGGGTATGCAATTGACATGCATTGACAATCCTTATGGCACTATGAAAAGAAGTGAAATGTTGAGTAAACCTGGAAATAGTTTGTGCCCATTGACCATGTACTCTGTGTCCCTTGAATGGTGCTCTTTGGAGCCAACAGTCAAGTACCATGAACCAGTATGGAGAGATCACTGAGTCTGTTTCCTGTTCTTACAGCAGATGCTCATCAAGAAACCGTGCACACATGGAGTTCGGTCAAGAATAGTCAAGATTAGGGTCAGTACATTTTAACTTGTTGCATGTTCTATGTTCACAAAACACATTTTGTGTATGATGTGTATTTAACATATATTTAATGTATTTAAAACATTCCCCAATAATCTTTTTATGGGCTGACCTCAGAATGGACCTGAAAAAAATTGGGATGAAGAAGAAATTGGCCTGGACATGAAGAAACTAGCCTTGGTATCATCATAGTTTACCAGAACATCATCGTGGTAAGGGTGGTATATAACTAAGATGGTGCCCAGGCTAGATAGAAGTTGAAAGATTATCATCATGGCCCTGACCATTTTTGAAAAAGCTATATGGAGATGTTTAATCTGTTAAATCTCTGCAATCTTTTCCAAACTACTCAGTAATAGATGTTACATACTTCATACATGTATTTTCATATGTACTTTCATAGCACTATTCGCCTAAAGAAAGATGTGGAAAAGATGATTTTGAATAGTACTTGTACTTGTATGTTTACAGTAATTAATTACATTCCTGAAAATGCAAAATATTGCAATAGCTTTGGCAGAAGTTAAATGTCAGAAAATTGATGATTTTTATCAGTGCCACATGCTGTTCATAAACATTAACTTGACTTGGCAATAAGGCAAACCTGGCTGGCTGCCATCTGTTGGAGTGTAGTAGAGAACATTGGGAATACGATATGTGATATCAGACACCTTTCCTGAACCTGCACGCAAACACATCTTCAGCTGACAGCTGACATTTTCCTACTTGGGAATATCACCAAGGGAAAATCTACAGATCAGCCTGTTATTGTATATCTTGCACAAAATGTTAGTGAAAACTAGTAATTAGTTATAGCATGTGCTATTGTATGCTGACATACTCATTCAAAGGTTGGGAGTTTGATGTAAGAAATTAAACATTAATAGCTGTTAGCGTTATAACACAGATATATGTATGAAAGTAATATTCTATAAAAGGTTAGCATGAGGTTGACTGATACTATTGTCTTGACCAAATTAGTCCCAAAACACATAAAACATTTAAAACTTAGTAAAAAATATAGTTCAGTAGGACATGGACTGGCAAACACAAAGATGGACAAGCCAGCCAGTACATTGTTTGATATCCCATAGGGCTTTTCTAAAAATATGATCAAGGCCATATTAATCCATCTGCTGGTTCTCAAACAAAGAAAACACACCAGATGTGATGATAAGGAACTTTTACAATTGAACTGACTATAGGTTCTCTTGTGTGTACTTGCTGTCCTCCCATATCTTTATTTTTTATCGCCATATTAAGTTATTTCCTCAATTTTCTGGTGTAGAATCATTCTATGATAGGAGGATAGACTTATGTAATCATGACCCGTAATACCAGCTGCTGTACATGAAGTCAATACCACTCTGATGTATTTATAGCACAGGTAATATTTGGTAAATGGTACTGGTATGATTGTCCCAGGGACCATTAATTTCTAGTTGGAAAGAGACTAGCTTTTTTAAAGGCAAAAGTTGCAACAGATGCTCCCAGCTCATATCAAAGAGACCTCCATGCATGCTTGCTGCTAGGGTAGTCCAGAACTGAGCAACAAGGCATCTGTAGGACATAAATTCCCCTCCAGGGGCACCAGGCTGGCATTTTCTTTCCATAAGTTATGGCCCTCCCTGCTTTCATCTTCTAGATAATTTGTTTTACTGGTCATCAGGTGATAAATGGGGAGTCACCAGCAGACCATGTGACTCCACCTTTGTATCTTCTTCTACTGCATCACACTTTCTCCTGATTGTCTGATACATGCAGTAGGTGGCTAGCTGGGCATGTTTTCTAAGAGCCAGCTAGTTTTGGCCTTGCATTAGTGATGATACTCATACTTGATCAAAGTAATGGGATTTTCCCCCAATCCCCCAACCTTGCTGACCCTCAGGGTACTGGAAACCTTGATCTCCTCAGGCCTAATTAGATCATCAGAGGTTGTGAAATGGGGTTACTTATGTCAAGTGTTCAGCTCGCTGAGTCCACAATGTCATGGCCACTGGAGAGGTTAACACATCAGTACCCAGGCTTTGATCTTGGGGACAGGTACCAAGGAAAATCCCATGGGGGGGCCTTACATGGGCTGTGCCTAGTTAGCTTGAATCAAGGATCCTAGGAAGGTGCTCGGATACACATTGGTTTGTATATTAGGTGTCATCTCCAAGAAAGAAATGGTATAGCTGAATACTTGTTTACTTGGCTGAATACTTGTCACAAATACTACAAACAACACAGCTATACCCCATGAAGAGAGATGATCAAATGTGATTATCACCTCACAGGCAGGGGCTGCCTATCCATCCCATAAAACTCAATCACCCTGTCCTTCTTGATTTTGTCCATAAGTGAAGCTGTTCAGCTTCTACAAATGTTTCGAAAATTTGAAGATATGAAAATCTATATCCTTTAATTAAACCAGTTGCTTTAGATCTAAACTTTTTATTTCCTCCACACTTACCTACACATGCTGTAGTTGGTTTTGTGGTCCTTCAACCTCTTCAGTCCTCAAACATGCAGATGTTCTGTACGAAAAATGTTTCCAGACTACCAGTTCTATTTTGTGTGAGATTCCTGTATGTTCTGAAGTTCTGAGGTACGGATGCTAGAAGGGTAAGTATTGATACCAAACAGAAAACCTTTGTTCTTGGTCCATGCTGTTATCATCATCTGGAGAAGACCAGATACAGGAGGATGAAATTTCAGATGACCCTTGTTGACCTAATGATGAAATCCCCTTACACTGGAGTTACAGAAGCAGACTGCAGGAAACTGTAAGGTTCCTGATATGGACCTGATTGACAGGGCGGTGAACTAGCCCCTGATTGATCCCAGGGATTAGGAAGGGCATTTTGTCCTTCAAGATGAAAAGTATGTACTTTGCTATTCACGGTTTTCCTTTGTCAGCTTTGGTTTGATTCCCAGCCTGTATGTCCACACAAAATACTCCCCAAGTCAGAAATATCACTTGACCTTCTCAACCTCCCTGGGATACATTACATGTGCAGGTGGTGCTGATGATGTTGTCTGACCCCACTTATGTATCTTTATCTGTTACATATACAAAGGGAAGGCTGATTCAATTGTTTAGGTTAAGTATATTTTCTAGAATGCCTTTGATTCCTGTGAAAAGGTAACATCATCTTATCACATTCTGGACATTTTAGCCTTCCTGAATATTGATTGATTGATTGATTGTGATTAGCTATAAATGTGATGTATTAGATGGTAGTAGCACTAGTAGCAGGGACCAGGTAGACGTCTATTTTTGACATTCAAGTGGATCAGTCGGCAAAGGTCAACTCCCCAGCAGTGGATCTGATGATGTTTAGACCTTTTCTGTAAGTGGTCTAAAACTGGAAAGCAGATGTACCATTTGAACTGTTATGCCTTTATTTCTATGGTTACTAGTGGTGGATTTGTGGTAATATGGCTTTCTGTCAGTATTTATGGCTTGCAATATAATGTTGTGTGGCAAGACCCTATACTGAACCTGAAATGTCATTAGGTTAACGGTGTAATGCCAAGGGATACCTGTAAAAGGTCCTAGTGCCATGTGCAGCTAAATTCTTGCTGATTGCTATGGTGTATTTTATGTTGATGTGAAATTATATATGTATTGCACAAAGTCATGAGATGGGCTTCTTGGTGGGCATTATATCACCTTCGCTTTTAACTACATTTGTAAATACAAAGCATGGGAAAGATCAAAGTGTATCAAGCTTTCACAAGCTATGAAATGGAGCAGTACTCCTGAACCTGAGTGAAATCATAAAGAGGCACAATAAATCTTTCATCTTCTTTGGCGAAATGACCGATAAGCAGCAGGAGACTGTCCATTTATTGAACAGACCAGGTGGAAATAGATTGGCATTGGAGAGGGTAAATGGGTCAAGCAACAATCTTAGGCATTAACTGTGCTTTAGCTGCTTGGATGGGCAGAAATAACTTTCTTCCAACTGCTAGCTATAGGGATATGCAAGCAGTCAATCAGGCTGGACCAGGAGGCTACAGGAGCTTCTATTCTTGGGTGGACAGATAAGGCAGTTTAAGTTCTTGGGGTCAAAGGGTCATACAGGACTTCCTTAAACACAGGAAGTGTACCCCCAGGAAAAGACAAGTCATTGTACCCAGGGAAAATTACTCACGTCATCTTAGATATGGGTCTCTAATTGCATTCACTATAACATGTTCTATTAGAATCATCATCAGCCATCATCATCCTTTTGAATTTTTATTGAATTTGATGTCATAGCCATCACTGCAATGCTTCTTGATATTCCTGACCTCGTATTAGTTCTGGTTGAACTGTTACATTGATGTACATCAGACTGACCTCCCCTGTGCCTTTAGGATGAACTACTGCTCTATCTGGTAAATTGACATGGTAAACCATCAAGGTGTCAGAGATCCTATCTTGGTTGCCTTTACTATATCAGCTTATGCATGACTCCCAGGTTTCATATCTGTAGTAATAACATGCTAGCCTGTGGCCTATATCTGTCACTCCTGGGCATGAAGTTTGGCAAAGCTTATCTCCAACAACAGACCCATGAAGGACATGGAGGTATCTCCTATCCTGATCAGTTGATTCCCCAGGCACGAGAGGAGGTTTGGTGTGTGGTCTGCACAAACTAACCTACATCACTACCTATGAAATTGATTATGTTAAGTCTGTCACATTAATCTGTCCTCTACCTTGCCCTATTAAGGGGTGGCCAGGTTGTAGCTTAACACCTGTCTGCACCATCTCTAATTGTAATTGTTGTAGCGAGATCACAAGGCAAAAAAATAGAGACAGATAACTGCTTATGGTATTCAGTAAATCTGAGATCCTTGTGTGGCCAATGGCAAGTTTTCTGATCACAAAGTCGAGTCATGTATACATTTTTACCATCATGATGGTGGCCATGTCCATTCTCTGATTAGGACCCCTCAAATTCTGCATCTTCATGAAAACTGTCTGCTTGGAATTGGCATGTACTTTTCTGGAGTGG